AAAAAAAAAAAAAAAAAAAAAAAAAAAAAAAAACAGAAAAAGTATCCTCTAGACTCTAGAGGACCTCTAGTCCCGGAAAGAGAGACTTTACAGCGCTACATCGCTAACACCCCAAGAACCGCTCTTTAGGCTTCACCCCCTATTTCGTGGTGAAGCCCCACTTTTGCAGGTACGCATCAGGAGCTTCACCCCAAAAGCCCCTCTTTCACAGGTATAGAAGAGGTTCTTCACCCCAACAGCACTTCACTCCCTATTTTGGGGTGGGCACAGAAGAGGGGCTTCACCCCAAAAGCCCAGCACCTGTTTTTAAATCACTGGGCTGGTTTTTTTTTGGTTTTTTTTTTTTTTTTCACTGGGCTGCATTTTCGGAATTGGTTAGCAGGATTAGTTCTGTGATGCAGAATTGCGTATTCCTTTTTTTTTTTTATGTTGCCCGATGGACCACGGATCAGATATTAAACTGATCAGAACAGATACAGTGCACTTGATCTATTATTAGCCAAAAGGCCAAGGGAATGAGGCCTTGCCAGAATTGAGATTTTACTTCTTTCTTTTTGTGAACTGCGGCCTTCGATCAATTTTGGCCGGTGCTGCCTCAGTCGTTTCCGGACCGCCCTTGTACATGTAATGAGACACGAGGACAGCTGCCCAGTTTAATGACGACGACCATACTTTCAGGAGAAAAAAAACAGAAAAACAGAACGAGTGTTTCTTTTTCTTTTTCGTGTTTTACCTTAGCTTCAGGAAGAGATCATTTCACCCAATGCCTAGCAGGGGGGTTGCGCCACAACATGAGGAGAGGGAGGAGAGTGGGGGGGGGGGGGGGGGGGCAGAAGGGGCACCGGCAGGGGATTTAAGTGGGCGTTTTAGTCACCTTTGCACAAGATTGGGGATAAACTCTGCAAGACGCTCGTAGTCTGTCAAAATGGTCCATATCAAATCAGCTGGGGCAAAGACGGAAATGCTGGCCCGTATCTTTCGCTGGCGCCAAGAAACAGCCTCCACCTCACAAGACACACTTCGGCTACTCCATGGGCCATCTTTCCCACCTTCTGCCTCTTCTCCTTCTCCCATCTCCTCCTCCTCCTCCTCCTCCTTGACGATGTCTCCCCGATCTTTGTCAGCACTGATTGGCTCCCGTGAGCGCAGCGCTAGCCCTCCAAACAACTCCTCTTCCTCCTCCTCCTCCTCCTCCTCCTCCTCCTCCTCCTCCTCCTCCTTCAATGCCTCAAACTCCATCATTTTCGCATTTTGTTCAAGCTGTGCAGCAGGAGAATCCTCATCCTTATCGATAACTTCCGTACCAGAAGCTGAACTTGGTCGTATCCGTAACACAGCTTTGTGCCAAAATGGCACTCGGGCAAACCAAGAGACTGTCGGTCCATTTCCCGCCGAGTCCAAGTCCAGATGGGGCAGCCCTCGGTTTGCAGTCTCTCTCCCGAGCAGCCGGCTGCATCTGCACACACTCACATTTTTGTGTGATCGCATGCAAGACGTGCATGGTCCCCCTCGTACAACCGAGAACATGCATGATCCTAAAGATGATACGGACACTCGTGGTACGGACGACATGCATGTCTGTGCGTACGTGCATGTGCATGGATTTACGTATGTGCACATGCATGGCTGTATATACGGGCATGACTGTATGTACGTGCATGGCTGTACATATGTGCATGGTTGTACGTGCGTGCATGGCCGCATGTGTAAGGCCAAAGGCGTGCACGATTTCACAGACGAGTTGAATGATCGACAGCGCGACAACGTGCATGGTGGTACAGAATACTCAGAATATTTAGACGACCTGCATGTCCGTACGTACGTGCATGGCAGCGTGCGTAAGGCCAAAGACATGCATGATTTCACAGACGAGCAGGATGATCGCGACCACCAGCTGCACGGTTGTGAGGAGGACTCGTTGTCCCTCGACAAGCGAACGACATGTGGTCTGCTTTCCGTCAATGACCCGCCGTTCTCCTGTTTCTTGGCTCGGAATCGAGTCCGATCTCGATCTCGATCCCAACTCCAGGTTCCCCCAGATGACAGGCGGAAGCAAACAGTGAATGATGAGGGTTCACTTTCCACAGAGCCTACAAAACCGCCACGTCGAAGCTGACGCAGACAAGTGCCAGCACGTGGCAGCGTTTCATAGTACTTCTTGATGCCACGTGGCCATCCGAGATATCCACATGATCCGCCTGGGCACAACGTTGCAGTACCGCCCCCCTTACCGGAACTGTCTCGCGCGTGACCCTTGGATTCTGCTGCAGCACATGTCCGTGCCTTCCTTAGCGTCTGTGTACTTGGCCATGCACCCCCAAGTGCCAGGTGGAGATCGGCGATACACGGCTGCGGACGTGGATGGCTGACTCGTCGGCGGTCCTCCACGTCAGCACATTCTCTTCTGCTGAGACAGACGCGAACAGAAGCGCCGCCGCCGCAACGGCACGACACTGGCGCAGAAATGAGGAGATTCCGGCGACGTGTGGTGATGCTTCGTGGGCATCCCGATACCGACGGACGAGTGTGATGCACACCACTCACACCTTTCAAATTCGTCCAGGAAAGCACCGTCCGCGTGGTGCTGCCAGTCACGTCCACGTGGGCAAGGCAATGATGTGGAGACATTCCTGTTGACTCACCGACCAAAAACAAAACAAAAACAACACAGTTAAAATAAATCAAAGAAATAAATGAAGGCGAAAGAATGGCAAGGACAATCCCAAGACCTAGAAAAAACTTCAAGAAAGTCAAAAAGGAAACACCTTTAAGAAAGTGTTCCCTCCCTACCCCACTTCTCCCACACCCTCCCCCCCCCACACACACAACAAAATGATCTGTGGACTAAAGCAGTATTTCAAAAACGGACATCAACATGAAAAAAAAATCAAAACACAAGCTTCAAAAACAAAAAAAACAGGTTCAAAATTCGAGATTTAAATTCTAAATCTTGATTAACATAAATTTGAAAATGAAAATTGCAATGAAATCCGTACAGCCATAAGTAAGGGTCGTAACTTTCGATCAAAATGATGAGGTTTTCTTTTTCTTGGGTCATGCTTGCCGGGGAAGACCAACCAACCTGCCGCCCCCCATAATAGATGGGGCATCCCTGTGTGTGTGGGTTTAAAAAAAAAAAAAAAAAAAACTTGTGGTCCCAATCAAGATTCAAGGGTCAAAAAGTCGCGTCTCTAGCTTCCGATAGGTCTGAGAAAAGCCCTAGGGTCAAGGGGTATAGGGCCAAGAGTCAAATGAGGCAACATGTGCCCCTACAGGAGACAGTTCACTCTAAGACATTCAGGAGTCGGGCAAAAAAAAAAAAAAGGCAAAAAAAAAAAAAAAAAAAGGGTCTACGCCAAGATTCAGGGGTCAAAGCCCACGTTTATAGCTTTAGAGAGGTAGGAGAAAAGTCAAAGGGTCAAGAGTCAAATGAGGCAACCTATGCCTCTGCGTGAGACAGTTGACTCTTGGAAATTCAAGAGTCAGCTGCGCTACCAGAGTGGCTCGAGACCACTTGCCCGATCGGGCCAAAAAAACATTAAAAAATCATAAAAATTAAAATTATTTTCTAATTTTATATTTTATTTTAAATTTGGTAAATAATTTTGTTGGTTATGTCTCCAAGTCCTTATATTTGTTGAGTAGTTCGGGGATCTTACTTCCGGGAATGATTTCAATTGTGTGCTTTATAGCACGGTCAGTTACTCCCGTTGGTTCAGTCTGCAAGTCCTTATATTTATTGAGTAGTTTGTCAATATAGGATGAAGAACATTCACCTACTCGTTTGACGAGTACCATCATTACATCCTGTGCCAACTTTTTTTTTATGACCATACTTCGAAACACAGATAGACTCATACAACAGAAAGACATCATTGAGTTTGAACCAGACTTGTGAAACAAGTTTAATCGATTCCATTTTGGATTTTTCATCCTTCAATCTTATTTTTAAAATTGACTTCCGGGTAAGGTTCCTCATGCCAATCCATGCCCAGAATCTGCGTAGCGCGGCAAAAGTGTTCATGCCCCTCCGCGTTCACGCGAACAGCTCATGAACGTGTTTGGGCGAACAATTTTTTTTTCGTAAAAAATAGAAATAAAAATAAATTCTCTTTTTCGGTTTTTGATTTTTAACTTGCGTTTAACTAAGAATTTGAACATGACTCCAAGGCAAAAGTTGCTTGTATTGTTGTTTTACATGACATGTATTTTTTCCAGATTTTTTGAAGACTTTCGCTTTTTTTCTTTTTGTTATGTTCGCGTTCGGAGGATTTTGGGCACTAGCTCGCGTTCGGGCAAACATGTTCGGGTTCTTCTCTAAACGCTAACACGATGCTACGCAACCCGAAATCAAGTCAAAGGGTAGATTCTACTCTACAAGGAAGGTGACTTCATGCAAGATTATTTTCCCTTCCTTAGTGCAGAAATAGCATTTGAGAGACAGTTATCGTGCTCTTGTCAGCAAGCATAGACGTGGTAGGTCTCAGAAGGTCTTGAACTCTCATTCCGAAATGCAACTTGCGAATTGCCTTTTTTGAGATATAGGACCTTGTAGACCCAGGATCTAACAAACACCTACTCGTGTACGCGCAATCTTGATGTCAGCAATCATTAACTCACCCTTAGGCTTCGCTTTCTTAGCCCATGAACTTCGTAATGCAATGAGTTCACAACCGAGTTCATCAAGGAAATCACCCAGTGAGACAGAACACAAAACCTTTTCAGGGTGGTCTGGGTGTTGGGCCGAGGAAGAGTCATCCTGTGCTTTGCGAGTTGGGGTTTTGAAAGGGGTTGTTAGCGCCTTACCTTTGTTTGAACCGGCAACTCAGTAGAAGCAGATGCTACTCCTACTAGTTGCTCCCTTTTGGGTTACGGATGAGGGGACACCATGCAATGATGTTTTCCGCAGCGCCATATTTCAAACACTGCTTATTATTCATCCGTTCCTACCATTTCGGTTGGGTAAGGCCCATCTTCTCCCAGGGCCGGTCAGAAGCAACACGAGGATGCTCCAGGAAAGAATGTGGCCCCCTCTTCTTAAATCCACCATTTCGGTTAGTGCCATTATTGTTGGCCACCATGGCGGTGGCGTTTCCCTTTCCAAGCTCACGGCCACCACTTGCTTCACCACTGCCTCTTCGAGGGGCCATTTCTCAACACTCTCGTCGTCGAAGAGAACGAGAGTGTGGTCCTATCACTTCTGCCTCCACAAGACTATATTCCTATTCCTGTACCCACTCGACTATCCACCCCTTACAACGGCCGCGTAGGTTCTCTTCACCTGCGTTGTCATTTGCTCTCTTTGGAGAGTGAGATCGCGGAATTGTCCATAATTGTACTTACCAAACTCTGCCTCTGCCACAAGTTGTCCTCGTATGGGCTCAGGCGGTGCGTGCGAGTAGATATATAGAACCTGGTTATCTTGTAGGTTCAACCCAGGTACCTGCAAAAAACGATCCACTTCACGAGACAAAGCATTGACAGTGAACCAACGCTTCTGGCTGATAGTGGTGAGTTCCTCAAAGGCCTTATCGGTCGTCATTTTATCGAGGAAACGCTCCTTGATTTTCTGAAGGAATTCCCACTCACCTATATCTTTGAAGCCAGCGGCATTGGCCTCAGACAGTACCCACTCCTTTGCGACCTCTCCCAGACAAGAGGTGGAGAACGCGACATGACTGTCCTCCACCACCGGAGTGGTCCCACAATACGTCTAGATCTTGGCAATCCATAACAACAAGTGTTCCCCTCTTTTACCGTTGTATGTAAATGGCAATTTCATTTTGACATTTTCTTTCCTTTTCGGTTTCTCTCCTTCTTCCTTTTTCGAGGTTTTTTTCTTTGCGAGCTCGGGTGATTTCGGTTCTCAGAGTTTTATGGCATCCTTCATCAACTTTTCCTGAGACTCTTTCTTTTCTTCCTTCTCCTCGGCTACCTCTTCATGCACAACCTTGTTCTTTCCTTTTACAAGCCTCGTCATCGTCTGCAATTCTACAGTGACGTGATCAATTTTGGTTTCTAAGTGTAGTAGGTAAGCCATCATATTTGCAGGACAAATGCCACATCAGTTTTTATATCCGTAATATGAAATTTTTGTTTTATTCCTTCAACATTCCTTGCCTATTGTTCTTGTTCTCTTCGCTGTCTGTGGTATTCTTCCTTCCTTTTCTTCAATTCTACTTCTAGTGCAACTTGCAACTGCTCAATGGTGTCGTCCGTTATCTTTTCTGTTAGTTCAGGTTCTTCCTTCCTCTCGCTTGATTCTCCTTTCCCTTCTTCTTTGGCCTCAGCACCAGCTATCTTCGCAAACTGCTCAGTGACAGAGTGATCGAGGTCCACTCGTCCTCGGTCAATTATCTGTTGCACTCTATCGCTGGTCTCCATCATCTAAACAGCAGTTTCAGCCAGTAAAAGCTCGTCTACTGCAGCATGCAGATCGAACTGGCTGCTCGCCACATCAGCAGACAACCTCCTTTGACACGCTCTGACAATGATTTGATCTCATCATGGTGCACACGGCACAGACTCCTCTCAAGACGAACAGCAATGCGCAATGTCGACACGAACGCAGACAAGAGATGGTTAACAGGGGGCCAAATATTCGCCGTTTTCGCCGGCAATTTCGGTGCAAAATTCGTCGAAATTTTAAAAAACAAACAATACGGGCCCATAGTGCAAACATCAAAAAAAGAAACAGGCCAAAGAAAACGAAACAAATAACAAAAAAACACTATAAAACCCTAACACAAAAACATTGTCGGAGTTAAAATGAAAAGCTCAACAAATTCAACGAAATGCCAACCTTTTCATTATTGATCCAAACATGTCAAAACTGGGCACATGACGTACCCTAAAGCACATATATATCACACAAGAAGAAAAACAAGAACAAAAGCAAAAAATCAGCACAATGTGACAGTTTCAGTGCAATTCGGTGCAAAATTCACCGACAATAACACCCCTGGTTACCGAAAGAATGGCAAGGAAAATCCCAAAACCAAGAAAAAACTTCAAGAAAGTCGAAAAGGAAACACCTTTAAGAAAGTGTTCCCTCCTTACTCCCCTTCTTCATCCCCCCCCCAAGAAAATGAGCTGCGGACTAAAGCGGTATTTCAAAAACAGACATTCAACATAAAAAAGAATCAAAATTCAAGCTTCAAAAACAAAAAATCAGGTTTAAAATTCGAGATTTGAATTCTAAATTTTGATTAACATAAATCCGAAAAAGAAAATTGCAATGAAATCCGTACAGCCATAAGTAAGCGTCGTAACTTTTGGTCACAATCATGCGGTCACAAAGATAGAAAAAAAGTTGTTTTAAAAATTAAGGAAAAAAAACTAGGCAGCACAGATTATGTAGCCGGATCATATGGCCGGATTACCCGGAGGAGGATCATCCAGGCTTTTTGTTAATCCGGAAATCCGGATAATAATTATTTTTAAAAAAAGCCCGAATGGGCAAGTGAGAGCTGTT